TATATATATATATATAAGAGAGAGAGAGAGAGACTGTCTTGTTTTTTTGTTGTTGTTTTTTTCTCCATCGTACTTTTTAAGAGATTTGTTTTTGGTGTGCCACGCCTTAGTTTGGCGTCCCGTTTTGACGCAGCATGCTGAACGTCGTTCAGGGAATGCACAACATACGTCATACAGCAAAAGAATCGCAGGCATAGGTTTTTCAGGACGGTGTTGGTGGTTGGTGGGTGACCTGTTATGTCTTCATCTCTCTCTCTCTCTCTCTCTCTCTCTCTCTCTCTCTCTCTCTCTCTCTCTCTCTCTCTCTCTCCTAATTTTGAATCAGTACTTCTTGAACTGGCTGTTACTGTGACTCTTACAACCATGGCGAAGATCCTGGTTCGACCTCATGTGCTGACACTCTTTGCATTACTTTCTTGTCCGTCTAAATTTATAAATAACCTCAATACTGTGGAAGAACTGTTGTGTAGCGGACAGTAGCGGTTAGGCACTTCGCCTTCGCCCGCAGAATACCTGAGTTCTTTTTTTTTTTTAAAGTAAGACTTGAGTTCCATTCCCATCTTGTGGGGAGAATTTTTGTCGAGTGTCTCGGTCTTTTTGCTGGGCCGATGTGTCCCTCTCTCTCCTTGTTGATCCTGAGAGGCAGGGTCGAAGCCTGCCTCCTAAATGATAATTTACATTCTGTCGATTGAGGCGTAAAAAAGACCTGTTCGTGCATTTAGAAAATACATACTGTCGAAGATTGACTGCTCTCACTCCGTTGAGCGGTCGCTGTCTGAATGGCATGATCGTACAACCGCTGTGAGATGATTACGCAGAACATGACGTGTGGGAAATGTTTCTCGCCGACTGTATGAAGCCATCATCTCTATTATATACATTTGCAATGGTATGGCATACTCTGACTTGCCTAGTAAGTTATCTAAATTGAGTGAATGGGGGCATAAAAAGACAACTACCCAACAAAAACCATTCAGCCTGGAATACCCGATGGGCTTGTTCTGTCAGCCTATTGTGAAGTTACGCTAACCCTAATACGGGGTGCCCACTACGGACGGGATCGGCCGAACGGGCGATCGCCCGACTCGGTCGCCTCAAGAACAAACGTGTTTGTTTTCAGTTTCCGGCAATCGAGTCGGGCGATCGGCCCGATCCAGCTGTAGTCGGCAACCCGTATAAGGAGGTTATAATACAGTGAGGTCCTTGGCTGACCGGCGTCTGTTGCGTAGTGCCCAGGCTCTTTCCTGCTGCAAGCATATGTGAGTTCAACTCCCGTGTGAGAAGAAAGGGTTTCTTTTTTAAAATTTTAAATCCAGTGTCTCCGTCTGTCTGCTAGGATCTTGTATCTCACTGAACCCGGGTTGATCCAGAAAGGCAGGGTCGAAGCAAGCTTCCCCTTAATGTTGTTACTATTTTTCAGCTAATGATTTGATAATAAGATAATGTGTTCATTGGGGGCGAAAATCATGTAATCATAATGATAATAATGATAGGCCATGTACTTAAAATAGTAGTAGTAGTAGTTACTACTACTACTACTGCTGCTGCTGCTGCTGTTACTATTACTACTACTACAACGACGACGACGACTACTACTAAACTAAATCATTGTTTAGCGCCTATCTCCGCTCAAGAGCAAACTCTCTGCGCTTTACAATCTATAGTATTACTCTAGCAGCATCGCAGACCTTAGAACTCTCAGAAACATTCTCGGCTTCCTGGGAAGCATACAGTGCAGACGGCCTATTAAGCGCTCAAACACTTAACAAACTTACAAGACGTGTAGCAGAACGCAGGCTAATCCCGTTTCTGGCATACAGGGCGGGCTTCTGGGCGAACACAATGTCGGTGCCAATGGCAGTTGCGCCAATCCCAAATTCATCTGCTCCGGAAATAGCACCTGCTGCCAGACGGGGAAGGAATCTTTTATGTGCTGCCCTTTTGTAGAGGTGAGCTTTTTATCCAGCGATATCAGATCGTGGCTAGAAGATATGTATGTTTATAAGTATAACAAAATATTTTTCTTTCCATTTTTAGGGGATTGGGGGGGGGGGGGGGGATTGTAAACTCCAGAAAATCTATAACTTATCAATGCAGACATTAGCAATACAGTATCAAAGCGTAGCATATTAATTTGAAGATAAACGATTTCTTGTATAATACATGTGTATCCATTGCTTAGGTTTGGGAGCAAGGCATTTATAGTCTATTGACACCCTCCCCCCCCCCCCCCCCTTCAACCCAACGTGTTGTGACTGTAATAAATCAATCCGCAACAAATATAATCACAGGCGTCTGTGGTGTAGCGGAAAGACGCTTTGCTTTCATATGCAGAAGAACTGAGTTCGATTCTCCTGTGTGGGAAGAGACATATCCATAAGGTTTGCAATTTGGAGCATTTTTTTTTACATGTGTGTGAAAGTTGTAGTTGTAATTACTTTTAAATGACTCAGGGAGCATTGAAATATGCAGAGAGAGAGAGAGAGAGAGAGAGAGAGAGAGAGAGGGAGAGAGAGAGAGAGAGAGAGAGAGAGAGAGAGAGAGAGAGAGAGAGAGAGAGAGAGAGAGAGAGAGAGAGAGAGAGAGAGTTGGTGGAGGGTTTAGACAAGCGATTCAAAGTAATTTCCAGTCCTCGTCTTTTTCCTCATTGTAACCTGTTATTTTGCCGCCATCGACTCTTGTAAATAAACGATGGATTTCCACTCCCTTCATTCCGTCGACACGCGCGTTCTTCTATTGTGTTGTCGTCACCATTCTCTAGGGTGTATGCTGCATGGATCGTCTTCACTGCTGCCCCAAGGGGAGCCACTGTGACGTGCCGCACAAACGCTGCTTCCGGACCACTGAAAACGGCGTGGAGTTTATCGCCATGGAGCAGAGTTATCGCCCTCTCGAGCGGAAGTCTGCTAAGGTCTGAGTTTTTGGCCATTGTGTGCCGTTACCCGACCCTTTTCCCCAAAGTACCGTCTACTCTTCTATTATATCCCAGGTCAAATTGCCTAAAATCTTGCGTTTAGACAAGGGGGAACACCCCCCCCCCAAAAAAAAAACAAAAAAAAACAAACAAAACAAACAAACAAAAAACTTTACAAGTTAAGATGTTATCAAACTAACTTTCTTTTACTTTCCTTTGCCTTCCCCTTTTCCAGCAATTTAACCATCGGCACTTATATGACCTATATGTGAAGCAAGTGTCTTAAAACTGTCTCTAAAACTAATCCAAACTGAAGATGAGCCCCTTTCAAGTTTGTATTGTTGGGAATCTGCTTGAAAAACACTGGTTTCGACTGGGTCAATAAAAGGAGATAGTATTTGCTTTTTATTGATTGTCAGAAATATAGATATTGTCAGCTTAAAAACCATAAGTAGGTTGGATGGGTCATGGATTTTTTCTTCTTTTTTTTCTTCTTTTTTTTCTTCTTTTTTTTTTTACACGCGTATTTCTTTGCGCTACTCCTTGTTTCTTTAATGCTAATAAGTTGGTTTTGGTTTTCTAGCAAGTGTGATTCCCAATTCTTGTTTCTGTTTCATCTAGCAGGTGTGATCCTCCCCAATTCTTGTTGGCGGATTCCATGTTGCAAACAGTCAGTTTTCATGTTCAGATTTATATGTTCTTTTTTCTTCATTACTTCTGAGTAGACTTAACCCCCCCCCCCCCCCAAAAAAAAAAAAAAAAAAAAAAAATCCCCTTAAAAACAAACTACAAAAGCTTATGACCTGTGTGGTAGAACCACACTGCACACTTCTATGCAAAAAAAATAAAGTACTGGGTTTTAAGTGTAGTGTTTTTAGTATGGATCTTGCTTGTTCTCTTGTCTGTCAGTAGGTTACTTACTCATAATGCTGTAGTTGGCCACAACTCACTGGGCCGATTTCAATATTCCCTATCAACTTGTGCTGGGGATGAAATGAGAAATTGCCCTTTCATACTTGAGAACAAACAATAATGGAGGTTGCGGTTACTCTTTGATAATGACAATTAATACGCGCATTGTTTGATTTTTACATCGCGTCTAAAAGGTTATATTACATAGTGCTAGAGCTCGTGGCAGTGACAACAATCTCCCATATAAGCGAACGGAGACTATATGTGCTCACTCTAGGACGATGAATGCTTAGGGCAAGAACAACTAAAATGTTGGGGGTAGGACGGTGTATAATATTATAGTACAGCTCGTGTGGAGTGGGATGGGGTCTCAGATAGTTTATGTAAATTGGGGCGCGCCAGCCATGCCGTCGAGGGCAAGAAGGCCCCCATGTCTGACCCACATGACATCTCTGCCACGAGCCGTAGTACTAGATCTATATATAATATATTATTATAACCTATTTGCTTCGCGTTGAATAAGGTCGTGGCCCCGTTTCCTGCGCATTTTAATTATAGTGATTTAATTCTTTCCACGGTCACATGTGTGTGAATAGTGTACTACAGTCACGTGAAAGTGAATACCCATCCCTTTATCATTGCGCATCCGTTTATTTTACAGCTACTTGCTGTCTTTACCCTTCTGTCTCTATGAGAGGATTTTCCAGATGTTGGACGAGCTTGTATTATTTTTGTCACCCTAAATACGAATGTGCCCCATTGTAGTCTGACATTTGCTTCACATACAGGTCTCATAGAGCACTTAAGAGTCATGACCTGAGTGTGGCCCGCCCCCCTTAGAGTGTCAGGAAGTTGGGGCCGAAACACTTGCTTGAGGGGGGTTCTTCCTCTGAAGATCTTCTGCTGTCCGCTCACCCCACGAGTTTTCTCCCACGTGTACATGTGTCGTAATATGTCTTCATTCCTCTTTGGTTCACTTGCGTATAAAGTTACCGCCGTTCTTGTTCGTCTGTCTTTGTTCAGATTCTTTGTGCCTTGCATTTTGGGTATGACCTCAATTTTTTGTTGTTTGAGATCTTTACTTGTACGAATGATTTGACGGCTCTAGACTCTAAAACAAGAATTAGTTGCGAGGTCTATGACTTTGTAGTACACAAGTAGTTTTATTATTATATAAATATTGGGTGTGTGAATAATGTGTGTTCGGTCGCCGTGTATTTAGAACACGTTTCCACTGAAGGCCATGAAGTGATGAAATAGCATTCTGTCCTTCAATAATGTCGAGTGACGTTTTCTACCAGGGTCAGTCAAAATCTGACACCGGGGTTAGTGATGTGAAATGCATCCAATTTCTTCAGAGAAAAAAGGCTCCACAAATTTTTGGTTACGCTTATTGTGTCGTTCTCTAGTGGTTGATACCGAATCCTTGTTGTTGAGTTCACTTGTCTGTGGGTGGTTGGCGGATGCACTTGTGTGGTTTGCTCTTTCTTTCGTTTGAAACATTTATCGTCTTTATAAACAATAATAAATTACATTTTTATTTATCCCAGAAGGTCAGTTTGGTTTACAATGGCAAAGATACATAAATGCATTAATACAGCTCTCTTCATTATTTTTTTTGGGTTACTTTCTAGTTGCACCTCTAATCTTCGGTCACTTAAATGGCCCATTTGTGTTACTAGTGTCTTAAAACTCTTGACTAAGTGTGTGCACTAGTCTGCACGTATGCAAAGCATTCAATGCTCAACATGTCATGGTTAAGTCCTTTCTCGCATTACAGCCTTTGTCCAGTGAGCTTTTCCACCCATGGGTACTGTATTTTCGTCTGTCCTAACCTATTCTCACTTTTACTTGTTTGTTCGTTATTGTAACTGACCGTTTTTTTGTGTGCAACTAAGGCAAATCTAAATCGGCCCTTACTATTTACACACTCACACGCACACACACACGTATATATATAAAGCGTTTATGGTAACGGTTTGAAAGGAGCCCCAAGTTGTTTCTATCACTCTTATGGCTTCGTCGTGTCTGCCTTGTTTTTCTTGCTCTTTTTCACCCCCCCCCCCCAATAAAATAATAAATAAATAACAAAATAAATACGTAATATATAATTAAAGGGAAAATGAACAAGGAAAATACCGAAAATAAGCACCACATTTAATGGCCGTTGCATGGATATCTTATTGTAACTACAGTCGAGCCTGCTCTAACGGCCACCTGTATAAGACAATCACCTGTGCAAACAACCATTTCTCGTTTCCTCATACTGTTCGGGTATTTTAAAAAAAATTAAACATTATAATGACACTGTTTAAGACGGCCACTTTTCTCCTCGACGACGAGTGAGTGGCCATCTTATACGGGGTGCCCACTACGCTGGATCGGGCCGATCGCCTGAAACTGAAAACAAACACGTTTGTTTTTGAGGCGATCGAGTCGGGCGATCGGCCGATCCATCCGTAGTGGGCACCCCGTATTAGACTGGAATTCCGACTGTATTACTGAACACGTTTCAACCCAAAAATCGCCCCCTCTCAGAGTGGTGGTTCGCCAGAGGAAAGGATGCCCCCGGTTCGCGCCTCGGCTGTCGTCTGCCCCGACGGCCGGCTGGAGTGTGCAGACGGCCAGACCTGTTGCCGCGACACGGCGGGGAGTTACAAGTGCTGCCAGTACACGGATGTGAGTCTGGGGTGGTTGGCGGGTGCTCGGGTGCGGTTGGCGCCTTTTTTCCTTATCTGACATGTTGTTTTACCGAGATTTTCTTATCATTAACTGCTTTTTTAAAAAAGTAGTATTTTAGGGTGAAACCTCCGGCGTCTGTGGTGCGACGGTTAGGGGCTTCGCTGTCGATTGCATGGGGATCGGGTTCAATTCCTGGGTGGAGAGAATTTGTATCTAGTGTCTATCTAGGTCTTTCTGTTTGGATGTTGTATCCCTCTCAGTCTGGGTTGACCCTTACAGGCAGAGTCGAAGAACGAGGCTCCTAAATGATCTAAGTTTTGTTGATAGGGGTGTGAAAACTCCCACAGAGAGTATGAGAGAGGTAGAGAGATAGATATAGCGACAGATAGATATAGGTAGATAGATAGATAGATAGATAGAGAGAGAGAGAGAGAGAGAGAGAGAGAGAGAGAGA